TATGTAGATGGCACATATCACATAGCCCTCATAGTCCTCTTTGGGTCACATTGTTCAGTAATTATGAGGTTTAAAATCCAGAATTTCTGAAGTAACACAAAGGTGGTTTCAGCTCACTGCAGCATGGAATGGCAGGTGTGCGATGGAAGGGAATGGTGCAAGGAACTGTGGGTGCTTGAGGAGCTCAGTTAGCTGGAACCACACTCAAAGGCAAGGAAAACATCCCTGTGCAGTGCATCACACCCACTGCTTGCTACCTGTGAGCAGCTCCTCTGCTAAATCATGCCAGAACTGTATCTGCTCTTCATCATTACCTTTCATTAGAAGGCTAATTTGAGCAGTCAAAAAGCAAGCTGGTGAGTTAACAATAAATAGAGGCTATTACAACTCCTACATCAGCTTTTCCTGTTCCACAAGGAATCTATCATCTTTACTGTTCTCCCTGTTTAATCTGGGTAACATCCATGAATACCATCCCAATTTAATGTGTGTGCAGTCTCACAGATATGCTTCCTGATCAGTGGTGGTCCTCCATACTGCACTGGGGATCCTTTCTGAACCTTCTCTTTCTCCCATGGGCCCTTTCCTTGAAGGACTTGCTTACAAGGACTACAATGAAAACACACATGACATATTTTCTGCTTTCTCACTGCTGAAGATTCCAGTCCTTCCAAGATGCAGAGTATCAGCTTCCTAGTCCTTTCAGAAGTCTCTGGAAACACATATTGCTACATCTGCTCCTAGAAACTCAAAAAATTATCCCTAGAAAGATTTAACTTCAGCAAAACAATACTTTTTTCTCAACTCTTGTATTTTAAGGGATTACTTCTTGGCTGCATTACCTGCCTCAGAATGAACTAATTCCAGGTAAATACTTCCTAAGCCAAGTTATGCCATGGCTTAATATGCATTTTATTTAATTCTTTAAAATTTATTATCTCCAAGAATAACTAACCATTTTCTGGCAGTAGATATTCCTTCATTCCTTGATGTGCATATGAAATTGAATTTTTTCATATTGAGGAGATGTAGCTGAAAACCCTTGTTTTCCCTTGAATAACTTTTATAGACTCCATTCCTCACTTCTTCTGAAGCATTTCATTTCAATCTATATTTCTCAGCTAATTAAACCCACTGATTCAAGTTTGCACCATCTGAATTTCCTAAGAAGCTAGCCCTCTGCACAGATGCTCCTGCAGTCTCTGTTGCTGCTGGTGAGGTCTCGTGCAACTTTCTCAAGAAGCTGAAAGAACTTGAACCACTGACTTAAATGCTTTTCTGCATTTAAAATAATCTCAAAAATTCTGCATGATTCCAGGACTGGTGAACCTATTCATGATGTGCATCTCAAATATTTTGAAACTGTTTCTGCAAAGAAGGTTAAAACACTAATCTTCTTTACTGTGGTCCCTATTCCAGCTCATCCTACACAGCAGCCAACAGTTCTTGTAGCTATGGTAATCTCTGAATATTAATTTCCTGGATCCATAGTTGCTGTGTATTTTGAAGCAGCTCCCTCTTTTTAAAATTTCTGTTATTCTCTGAATAACAGAGAATATTTACTGGGATTTTTATATCTATTTATATTTACTAATTTTTGAACACTTTGGGATGCAAAAGCATTTTTTCATCAAGGATTGGTGACCAAGTGCATTAAGTGTAATTACATGTTGATCCTAGAAATTCAGTATTTGGGAGAGATAAATAAATCTATTCTTTGATGAAAATTCAAACATCCTACCTTGATCCAAGAGTGACACCCATGTATTTTTGTTTCAGTTGCAATCTATGTTAAACTGTAACTGAAAAATTTATACAATAATTCTTGTTTGGAACAGCAACAGACTAATTACTGCTTGAGTGCATCCCAAATCACCAAGTGTTTCCAGGGCTCAAGATAAGGACTTTCAAGAGCACTATATGAAGATAAAAGGTCTTAAAAGGCTTTTTGTTGGTCTCTCTCCCCCTGCCTGCTCAGCTGCCTCTCCTTACCTTCCCAGGGTAAAGGATCTCTCTTGCAACAGCCCTGACTTGCCTTCTACATGGAGAAGAAAGGGCTGGCACCAGGCAGGGGGGTAGATTTGAGCCAGAATCTGGATGGGTGCATGGGAAAGCAGAGTGTCTGCTTCCAGTGCCAGTGCAGCTGCAGCAAGGGAGAATCTGCCAGGTGTACCTCAGGTTTTAGTTCAAACCATTATCTCAAACTGCTAAAAAATTTCTATTTTTGCTCTAGGTTCAGCAGATACTTCCATATTTTTTTTTCTTTTTTTTCTTTCCCTTCTTTGCTGAGAGGAGCATATTTTTCCTTTTGATATTCCTTTGTTTAGTTTTGATCACTGCAACTCCAGATTTGATCCCATGTCATTACATTTGAGCCAAGAAGCCCAGTGTTATTATATAGTATATACTATTTATGTTATCAAAACCACATGCACTCTTTGGCCTTTATATCAATTCTGTTCATAGGAGCATCTGTAACAAGTGTTTGGAGGTAAACACGGGTCCACAACTTTCCTAATTTTTCACATATAAGTTTGGTTGGAAGGATGGACAAAGCTGCAACTACTGGTGAAGAGGGAATTTTTTATGACTTCCAAAACAAAAGCAAAGCTTCACTATATTTTAGTGGCCTTTCAAGACTGTTACTTCAAGTAGCTTGGCAAAATGCCCTTGTCTGTTTACATAAATCAGCATACCTTGTGAAGTGAATTTCTGCATCATATCGCAAAGGAATTGATAAGGCCACCTGGTTGTCCGAGTCTTGCTGTTCCTTACTTTCACTGTTCATCAAAACACATTTGAGTCAGGTGTAATAATATTGTTTTATACAAATAAGCTTTTAATACCTAACTTGCTTTTATATCATTATGTACTTTACCTCCATGCACGAAAACTTAGAACTGCCACATTCTGAAGATTTTTAAGGTTGAAATCAAAGCTAATATCAAAGGACACCTACAGAAGAGACAAGTGACACATAGTAAACAAGTTGGTATAACATCCCAAAAGACATTATTCATGTGTGTAACAATCTAGAACTGCCCTCTATATGTGAATTCTCTAGTTTCCTGTGTAATATTTCAGTAATGTCTTAATAGTCAGAATTAATTTGTTCTTACATTCCCCTACAAGTTGGCATTCTTACATAAACATAAGTTATTTGCATTTTAAAATTGTGTACAACTAGCTGTAAGCTCCAACAAAAGGGGTTCACAATTCCTTCATTTTAAACTCTAGCATTGACACAAGCTTTGTATTCACTCTTTTCTTCCATTTGTTCCAGCAGGTCCACTTTGAGCAATTCCATTAACACTCAGAACAAGCTCAACTTTCTATATATGATTTTTTTTTTATTATTCTACATGTCCCACCACAGGACACCATGTTTCTGTTCTTTCAAACAAGTTTCTTATTGCTATAGATTATCTTAGATTATCTTAGAGGCTAGAACCCAGTTTCTCCTCTGCCCTTGAGGAATAAGAGATTTCATGAAACTGTGGATATCTTGAGGTTTATGGTATATATGAAAAAAAAGATATATAATTCATCTTAGGACTGTGTGGGCCTCCCATCTCCCCCCAAAACAATACTGCTTTCTTGAAGAGATGAGTTTCACTGAGCAGGTGAGGGAGTTACCCTAGGTTCACACTGCAGGAGGGAATTGATGAGAATTGTGCTCAGTTCTCAGGAGCCTGCACATGATGCTCTATGCTTCTTTGTCCCCAGCTTTCACTCTCCAAAAGTTACATAACTGCAGCAGCATTTGGAAGCTGCAGGTTTTGACCAATGAGCTTTGAGAGCCCTTTGTCCTTTAATCTGACAGGGAGTCACATATTTTAAGCCCTAGTTTGCTTATTATAATGCCTCTGTTGTAAAATCTAAGAAACCTTTATCAGCAATAAATGCAGACTTAGGAAAAAACAACAGCCAAAAAGGTTTTGGGTATCATTCAAGCTTATTTCAACATGCTAGCTGTACCTGTTGTCCTGTTCTGAAAACAGGATAGCTTATTTGGCAAATGACTGTACTTTGTGCTGTTCCTGTTTGACACGAGACTTCAGTCCCATCACTCTGCAGAGAAAACAGACAGAAACACCATCTTATGTCAGGTTTTGATAAGGCAGAGAGGTGTGTACCTTCAACAGCATATGTATTATGATAAGGAGGAGTGAAAATAGGTGTTATGGCAGTAAATCCTAGAGATGCAGCAGATAGGTGGGGCATAGGCAGGGCCATGAGGAAGTCACAAGGAAGGTGGGACAAGGACCATTCCCACTCGATTTCTTGTGGGTTGCAATCATCTTACTAGAACTTTGTGCTGAGCTTGGAAAGAGGAATTCAGGCCAGAGAGTACAGGTCACCTCTACCACTAACTTCTGTAAGTCCTTTTTTAGCAGAATTTTTACAGAACTTTTGCAGACATATTAACACAGTCTTAGAGCTGGAAGAAATGAAACTTTCTGTAAGAAAATCTGCCATACATTATAGTTTGTTTACTACTTTCCAGAATATTGGCTTGTCATCATCCTTGATTCAAAGACAAATTCACAGACCAGAGCCAATTATCAACCCTTAGAGAAGAATTTATTAAAAAGTATTGTCTTTTGTAAAAAAACATTCCTACTAGACATTTACCATTCATGAATTATGCTACAAAAAAAAAACAACCAAGAAATCCTCAAACCCTCAAAACAAGACCTCCAAAAAGACCCATACATACTCAGTTTATGTTTTTCTTCCTGCCTTGAAGCAGGCACATTTTTGGTCCAAACTTCACTTGCAGGCTGAAGTGCTTCTAAGCGAAAGAGCTTTTAAAGCAAAAGAAAATTCTAGCTCCAGTGTGGTCTTTTGGCAGGACTGAAATGAACAATCTTGCTGCACAACAGGATGGGGAGGTAGAGGGGCACCCCCAGCGCTGTATGCAGTACTTTTGCCAATTCATTGTTCAGAATAATGCTGTTCTTGGGCAGGAATGAATGCTATCCCTCCTCTCCCTTCAGTACAGGGATTGCTCTGGATTTCACCCCCAGGATTATCACGCACCTCTCCAGTAGGAGCCTGACCATATAAGCCAAGCACTGAAATCTGCATTTCATCCTTTGTGAATTGGGAGCAACAATCTGAATTATAGGTACACTGCATTCCCCAAAATAGTATGCATATTTCCTCTCTTTTGCTTTCTCTAAGATAAAATTTGTTGGAAGAAGAGCTTTTGGTATAGCCATATGTCAATCTGATTAACTGTCTAGCTGGAACACATGGCCTTGGCAGTAACGCTATTTCTAGATCCAAAGTCTGTGCTTTAAGGATTCATCATCAATACTGCACATCTGATTTATCAAATACAAATTCCCTGTAGCACAGCAACTGCTTCAGGCATGCTGCTGGGAGTTAAGAAGATGTGGGTGCCAAGGCCTAAAGTGAGGAAAAAATGTCTGAGGTGAGGTCAAACTTGAAAAGTTGCCAGCTTTTATGCTGAGTTGGAAATATCTCTCCTTGACCTAAATAAACTGATCTGCTGGGGGAATAATTCTGGTATCCAAGAAAACAAATTGTGAGAGAGTTTTGTATACACATTCTTTTCTGGAATAGGCACTGCTAGAAAGGAAAAAAGAAAATTCCTCTGAGAACTTCAAAAATCAGGGGCAATTACAGAAACAGTGAAGTTGGGTATCACGCACCGGTAAAGAAGATGAAGCAAAAAACAAGTTGTCTGAAAATGTGGCCTGGATTCTGGTGTTATATGCATTTTCCTTTTTATTTCTCAATTTCACATTGAATGTTAGTCTTCTGTTTTTGCTGCTGACAATGAACTGTTGTTTGCTGTTGGAAAATAAAGTCCATTGTTGTAAATAGAGGTACTAGAACAGCTGTGGATCAGGAAAATGTGTTGCCTGAAGCCAACAACAAATAACAAGCACAGCAAGACATTTCCTACATTGTACACACTTAAACACTCTGCTTTCTAAACCCTTTGGCATAAGAAATTCTGTGATGGTGTTTCCTAAAACCAGATAGAATTACTGTATTCCAAAAGTGCTGGACTTTGATTATGTGTTGTCAAAGTGACTGCTGAATTTTCAAGGGGTCTTCCCTGGTGGGAAGGTGGACAGAGTGGGCAGCCCACATGGGCAGCCTTATCTCTGATGCATATATATGCATATACATCTGACATGGACTTAGAATATGTGCTGCCCAGATAGCTGACCACAACTCCCCACTGGCACAGCTACTGCAGGATCCTCACTGCTCCCTGTAGGAGGGATGAAAACAGCTGCTGCAGCTGCTGCTGCTCTCCCATTGTGCTCCCTTTCCCAACAGCAGCCAGTCACATACAATTTGTCCAAATACTCACTATGTGCTCATCTCTAAGGTACCAAAACTTGGGTTGGTCTAAGCTGACAAGAGTCCTAGAGTCCTACTTCTCTGTTTGTGTCCCTATCCTACCTCTTTTTCCTTGATTAAATTTAGATTAAAATGCCATTGCTTTTTTTATCTGTGCTGTTTCTAACTAGATGTTGAACTGGAAGGGCATTCTCCTCTAGAAATTAATCCAAAGCCTACAGACAAACCAACTGTTGAAAACACTGGACACTGGACCTTAAGGGTTCCACTGATTCAGCTCTTACCCATCATCTGCCTTCTGCTGAACATTGAGAACAAGATCACAGACACAAAGTTCATCTTCACCACAGTCTTTAATAAAAGGAATCTAGGAAAAACAAAAACATTTCCTGAATGACAGGGCTCAACTTTTAACATGATCTGAAGACACTAGAGTGCAAACATCTTCAAGCTGAAGCACATTCTTGGTTTGCAGATAAGAAAATCCCTCTGAAGGACATTAAAAATCTTGACTAGTGAAGGAGTGAACTGAATAATGTGTTGCTACATGTCAACTGATACAAGAATGGTACAGACAGATTACTCTTCAATGACAACAAAGGGGATGTAGTCAAGTTAGTTCCATCTCTCTTCTCTCTACCCCTTTACTGTAGAATAAACTGAAAGAATTCATCTTTGCCATCAACTAGAAGTTCACATCAGTGGTGACATGGCTGAACTGACATGCTTGTTATGTGCTATGGTGGCTGACTCTGTGTGTGTGTGTGTGTGTGTGAGCAAGCTCACGTAATACAGGCAAAGGTATGAAAGGAACCAGGGGACACCCCTCCATGTGACTTACACAGAGCACCAGTTTTCACTTGCATGTGTTTCACTTTGGTGTTTGCAGGGCACACATTATGGATGTGTATGGCCATGCAATTCTGAATAGTAAATCTGCATACTTACACTATAGGCCACAGATGCTGGAGAAGATATGTCCAGGACAGGGCTGGAGCCAGGATTTGCAAGGCCAATGTCAATGCGCAAACTAAGTGAATTCACAGCATCTGAAGGCTCCTGTAAAACACACAAGGTTCAGATGATGGCTGTCAGCACAGAAAACAGGGTAAAATTGGTAATTTCTATTGTGAATTGAGAGTGTGCAGTAAAATAATACTTGCTCTAAACAAGGAGAAGCGACAGTTCAAAGCTCCATTTCTTAAAGAAAATAATTTTGTGAGATTGACCAGTGGGGGCTCCTCTACATTAACAGTTTTCAGTGTGATTTCCATGATAAAACTGATTTTTCTAGGATTCCCGGAGACTGTGCACATCACAGTAACTACTAGGGCTAAGGAACATGCAGATTGTCTGCAGCTGTAGGAGCTGGTCCTCAAAGCCATCACCAGGTAGCTTTCATTCTCATCTAGCTGCAGAAGTCAAATTCCTATTCCACTCTGCCTTACCATCACAAAGAGCATCTGGGCCTGAGTGACACTAAAACACAGTAAATGCCATGTTTCCTCTTTTTTTTCAGTCCTGGATGAGTCATCATCTAGCCCTGTTGTTCACTGGTCCACATGGCACTAAATGTGATCAATAGGTCACTGCAAACCAGAGCAGGGACAGAAGTCCTCTACCTGACCTAGCATCATGCAACAGAGCGTAAGGCAAGTCTCAGGGCTCTGTTCAGTCTTTGGTTCTGGAGAAAAATGGAGACCTGCTTATTTCTATTTAATTCCTTGTTGTGTACCAGGGGTTAGGATGCATGCAAGTTCTGCCTAAATGTTAGTTTGAAGAAAACATTTGCATGTATGTTTTAGTTCTTACAAAACAGTCTACTCAGAGGGAAATTAAAATCTATTGGAACTATAGACCATGGGCTCTGTATTACACCAAAGCTGAATAACACAATTAAGAACCCTCTTTTCTATCCTAAAAATCTGTACTGAATGTGACAGTTATTAGTTGCTATGAAATCATAATCTTATTAAGTACTTTTCAGCTTGGGGGATTTGGGAAATATAAATAATTCAGTACATCATGCATGAAATTCACATTACAGACAAAAAATTCATCCACGCCTTCCTCTGATCTTTTGTCATGCAAGAGTACTTGCAATTGCACTTACTTGTACACTGAAGACATCATGAACACAATTCTCTTCATTACGCACCACAAGATCCCTCTGCATGTACCTTTCATTATTTTCTTTGAAAAATCCTCTAGAAGTCACTCTGGAGGACTGGAGATCTGCATCCAATGTTGCATTGTACTTTATAGCTACAAGAAGAATAACAGTACATTTTTGACTGAGCATGGTTGCCTGTGATCTCATTACTATGCTCAGTATTATAGGGACCAGGCTTTCCTGACCACACTAAGTATTTCATGTTTTTCATAGCTAAACACAGAGCAATTTCAAAACGAAGATACTTTCTCTGGTGTTTTCCAAGGCAGTCAAACAGGTTTAGGTCCTGATTTGCAAGGGGCACATCAAATGGCAATCAATCCAGCCTCCACTGCAGATGTCTGAGCCTGCAGCTCAGGCAAGAAGCCAGTCAGCAGGGCCAGGGTTACCCTAGGTAAAGGGGCCTTGCAATAATGTCACTGAACTCAGAGGTGACTTTAAACAATCTGCATCTTCTCTTCAATCACATAATAATTTCTGCCACCTCCTCTTTGTTTTATGACTATTCTATTGTGAAAGTTCATTGTTATTTTATAGCTTAAAATCATGAGCTCCTAAAGGCACTTTATGTAGCACTGAAGCAGTCCAACTGGTGTTGTCTGTGAGACTGAACTTAAAAACTTCATGGGAGCCCACTGCTGGTCACAGAAATATTCACTGTGCTCTGAAAAGAAGAGCTTCATCCCACTGAAAACTGCTCTGACCCTCTGAAAAATATTTAATTTTCTTTTTATGAAGAGGAAAAGTATGCAGTCTGCTGTTGAAAACAGAAGGTTAGATGAACCTAACTCCTCATTAATTACATTTTTGGGGATTATTGAACAACAAGGATACAGCTGTCCTCTATACTGTTAATTCCCCACTTTTCAAAGAGTATGGAGCCAGTGATGAATTAGGTCTTAAAAACACTTTTTTAAGCACTTAAGTTTTAAATTGATTTTGTGATTCTTGACATTCAATCTAATACATATTTAGATTTTCCATTACTCATGTAAATAATGGACTTTTGCCAAAATTCATATAAGACAAATCATTGAAATACTCTTACCCACTTGATTATTTTTCTTAGCAGGTCTAAATGAAGCCTGAAAGCATATTTTGACAGTTATATCTGTATTCTTGTTCAGCAGACTGATTCTTTCAGGTTTAAATGAAGCAGTTATGGACACATTTGCAATGCCTCTTGACCTGAAAAATATATTTTAAAAGTTACACGGTGTTTTGAAGAACACTAGGTAACACAGAAGCTGTTATCCAATACTATCTGTAAATGTTAGTATTGATTTTTTTAGGTTCCCAATGTAAACTTCTTTTAATGGCACTAGTAAAATTATTTTTCCTTAGGTATACATGAATTTGTTGATATCATTGCTTACAGCAACAACAATACGTATTTTCATGTCAAATTAATGGCTGCTTGATGGCTTGAGCCTGTGCCCTAATCAATCCCTCAAGGTATCAGGGAATAAAGCTCTTGGCCTATTTTCCAAATAAGTAACCTTCTGCTCCTTTAGAGCTCTTCTGGGAAGGTGAGAATGGGTAATTCTTCATTTTATTTAATTATCTAATTTTTCTGAAAAACAACTTTAATGTAATTGAACAAGATTTTGAAGAAGAGTTTCAAAGGAACCCTGCATGTAAAAACAAACACTTTAATCAAAATGAAATGCATTAATCAGCCCAAATGTCAGAGTGAAAGAAGAACAAGCATCTTCATTAATCAAATCTAAATAAATGCTGGTACTTCAAGGAGCATAATTTTCTTTAATGAAATTCCCAGCAGCAGCAGCAGTCAAAGGTCCAAACTGAACCATTCATTTTTAATTATCTAGTTTCATTATGAAAGAAGTAGCAATTCACTGATATTTTTCTTACAATGGGGAGCCTCAGGCATGAAGACAGGCAAAGGAAAGGAAACAGCATTTGAATTTAGCTCCTCAAGCAAGGAGCAGAAATCACAGCCTACTTAGGCAGGCAGATGATTTGGGTTCTGTGAAACCTTTTTATATATTGTGAAAGTACTCTGACTTCTAGGGCAAAGGCAATGTGCCATTACAAATGTGTTCCTTGCCAGAACTAGTTGTCAGCTCTCTGTTACTGCTCTCTGTCCTTACCCTGCTGGACAAGGCTGCCCCCATACCAGCCTATCAGCCAGTAAAGGTCACACAGGTTGTGTGAGATGTGGTTTCATCTGTCTCAGGCTCAGCTATCAAAATTATACTCTGGCTACTGGGTACACAGCCTGCTGTTACAAACACCCTCCATCAAGCCCCATTCCCTGCTGCTGTCCCTTCCCTCTGGACCATGTGTCTGCACAGCAGGAGCAGGAGGATGTCTCCTGGCCCTCTC